TCGGCAGCAGCGGCGGGCGGCGGGTTCCCTGAACAAGCCCGATAGCTCTGGCTACTACTTTCAGTTTCGTGCAGAAGAGAAGTCGGCAGGCTGCGGGTGAGTGCGGGCTGCGGACCGGGCTGGGAGTGAGGCGGTGGGCGGCTAGGGGTTCAAACTCTGCTCCTAGAAGGGACGCCAGAGATACTATGGCCAGGTGGATGGGGCTGGTGTATGGCTGGATGGATGGACAGATGGACACACGGTGGGGGAGCAGTGGCCTGGGAATGAGCAGCCTGGTACCCTGCAGTTTGGAAAGTCATTTGTGAGTCACAGACAATGGCAGGTCGGGGTTGCCCATCTTGGGGGGTATGGGACACAAGATGTTGGGCTGTGCCCCCGACACCCACCTGTCCCCTGTCATCTGTCGCCCTCTCTTGCTTTTTTTAAAAAAATTTTTCATGGCTTTATAAAGAATCAAAAAAGTCACACTTCATTATGCACAATTCAGACTTTTTAGCCTAAAGAAACTTTTTATTATGAAAAATTCCAAACATGCACAATAGTAGAAGAAATAGAATAATTAAATTGAGCCTTATTTGGATCGCTGGTTTGGAGTAACAAAGGCACCAACCCCAGGTTGTCTGTTTCCCCTTATTGTGAAGCAAATGGCAGATAGCAGAATATCTCAACGGAAATATTCCAGAATGAATTAAAGATAAGGAGCCTTTTTAAAAACAGCCACCACACCATTAGCATACCCTAAAATTTTTTTTCTTAGTATTGAGGATTGAACCTAGGACCTTCATGCTGATCTATATCCTCAACGCTTTTAATGAATTACTGTTTTATTGAGACAGAGTCTAACTTACCTAGGCTAAGCTCAGTCTGTGAACCCTCCCACCTCAGCGTACAAAAGTACTGGGATTATGGGCAGTTGCCACCATGTCCAGCTCTAAACAATTCTTTAATGTCAGATTTCCACTATTTCTAAGGAATATTTTAACTCATAAGTCACAGGGGCAAACAGGGGTGTCATGTTATTATTTTATTTGTGGTTTGCATTTCCATTTGGTTTCCAGATTTTTTTTTTTCCTCCCTCATTCAGAAAGCCAGAATCTAGAGTTTGCTAAGGTGGGTACTAGAATCTAGGGCTTGCAGAAGGTGGGGTGGGGCCCTGACATTACCTTGGATTTTGATCTTTCTGAATTGCTTTCCTTCTATCAAAGAGAGAAATGAACCCAGAAAAACACTAGGCTTGGGAGCTCAGTAGCAGAGCTCTTGCCTCTCATGTGGCAGGCGCTGGACTGAATCTCCAGAACTGCAAGAATAAATTAATACATAAAGCACCAGGCTTGATCTCCCAGTGGGGAGCAGACTGGAAGGGAAAGCTTATGACCTAGTGCTGTGTACAGACTCTCCATTAGATACTTTCTCAAACTACAGCCCAGCAGCCCAGACTTGCCTCAGAGCATGCTTGCCTGTCTGGACTCCAGAAACAGCTGGTTGGCTGGCACCCTGCCCAGGAGGTGTACAGACCAGCACTGCCTGGGCGCCTGGCATTTGTCACGTGTCGTCTCTGGGAACCTTGGTTTCTCAGCTGTAAAATGGGCATGATAGAGTGTTTCATGGGCTGAATGAAATGAGGTATGTCCAGTGCTTGGTCATTTTAAGTACTGCACGAGAGTGAGGGGCTCTGGGTCCTGGACAAGGGCAGACAGCAGAAGGGTTAGAGAGGTTCACAGTGTGCTTAGCCTCCCTCTGGGACAGATATAGAATGCCCAGATGTCAGCAGAGCCTGGCCAGTCTCTCTGCACCCCAACACACGAACCCTTGCCCGGCTGAAGAGAATCCAGCAAAACTTCCTACTATGTGTGCTTCCATCTGGGGTGAGTCGTGTCCCCTGAAACGATATGTTGAACTCCCAACCTCCAGTGTGATCTTATTTAGAAGACTTAGAATCTTTGGAAGATCTCAGAATGTGGATCTTATTTGGAAGTATGATTGGTTTTCCAGATATAACTAGTTATAAGAAAGTTATACTGGAATGGGGTGGGCCTTGATCCAGTATAACTCATGACCTAGTAAGAGAGGAATTCAGCATGCACATGGAGAAGGAGGGCAGCTGTGAGACAAGGGTAGAGATTGGACTGATGCATCCACGAGCCAACAGTTGCCAGCAGAGCCTTTGGAAGGAGCCTGGCCCTGCCCACGGCTGGATTTCCTACCCCAAATCTGCGAGAGAACACATTGCTTCTGCTTCAATCTGCTTGCTTTGTGGTACCTGTTACCACACCTAATAAATCACCCCAATGTCTGTCCTCTGCCTGCCGCAGAGAATTAGACTAAGGATTACGTGAACGTGTACAAGCGTACACACTATCAAAATGTGGGGAGCCAGGATGTTGTTCAGTGGTAGAGCACTTGCCTAGCATGTGCTGGGCCTTGAATTCTTTTTATCCCCAGCACTGCAAAATCAATAAATAACCCACAACTTTTGGAGACTTTTTTTTTCTTTTGGTACCAGGTTCAAACTTGGGACCTTGTGCTTATGAGGCAGGGGGCGAAACCACTGAGCTAAATCCCTGGCCCTAACCCACAACTTTTGTAGGTTTCTTGGGATTTAAAATGCTGGATTTTGTTGTTGTTGTTGTTTTGCCAGATCTACTTTTTCAAGAGTTGGTTAGTAGTCTAAAGTTTATTTAGATAAAATTAAGTCTGCAGTGGGAACCCCCATATGATTTGAAAGCAAAAAGAGAAAAATTGATCATCTCAGCTGTTGACACAGGCTGTCTAGAGAAGGGAAGCCTTTGGCCCCTTGGATTATTGCAGACTCTGGAGAATCATCAGCTGCAGCTAACACCAAGCTGATGTAGTGAAGCCAGCAGTGCTAGTTATGTATGGCCTTGTCACCCAGACAGGAAGTAGAATGTATTGCCTACATGCTGCCCGGGGTTTCCTGAGTCCTTGGGACCTGTAAGGTTGGCGTGACCCGGGTCTGCTCTCCAGGGAAGCCTGCAGCGCTCCAAGCTCTCTGCAGCTCTGGAGGGGGATGAGAGGGTGAGCTTAGTTCTCCTGTTCACCTCTGGCCCCAGCTTCCTCTGCTCTGTTGTCATTTCCTCTAGGGCATGAGAGGCACCAGGATGTGAAATGAGTGGGTTTCCAGGGCAGGAGGCTGGGAGGCCCGAGGAAGAGCCTGCCTACATGGGCAACCAGCTTTAGCCCGTGAGCCGCTCTGGAGTCTTCTGATAAATTCCTCAACACAGGAGTCCTCCAGAAAAGTTGTCAGCAGCTCTTCTGGCTGTGATACTGATGACATTTGACAAAGGAGAACTCTCAGAGGCCTGAAGAAACACTGGGTTCGCCCTTGGAGGCCCTCTACTACCAGTTGAATTTATTTCATGTTTCTCTTCATGTGTCTATTCATATTTTTAATGGACTAATGCATAAATACAAAAATGGGACCTCAGTTTTTAAACTAAAGAATATGGACATTATATGTAAGATGAAAATTAAAACCTGTGATATCATTCAAAAATTTTAAGCCAGATGCGGTGGTGCACACCTAAAATCCCAGCACTGCAAGAAGCTGAGGCAGGAGGATGGTAAGTTTGAGCCTAGCCTGGGCAACTTAGGCATTTAGTGAAACCCTGTCTCAAAATCAAAAATAAAAAGGGTCTGAGGATGTAGCTTAGCATGAAGGCTCTGGGTTCAATCATTAGAAGTGCATAGATAAATAGTTTAATTTTTTAAAAGTTAGTAGCTAATATATTTATGTAGTAAATAAATGAAAAACATACAAAAAGATATAATGAAAAGTAAGTCTCTACTCATTCCCCAGTCCCCAGTTGTTCCTTCTGAAGGTACCTAGCATTATTGGGTTCTTGTGTCTTCTTCTAAAGTTTAAAAAAAATGGACACACACACACAAACACACACATTTCTCCCTTTTCACAAATGGTAGTATATCATTTGTAGTGTTTCCTATGTTTCTTAAATGCTATTTGGAAAACTTCGTACATTAAAGCAAAAGATCAGTCTGTTTTCTTTATCTTCAGTGCTGGGGATGGAACCCGAGGCCTTGTGCATGCTAGGCAAATGCTCTGCCATGGAACAACACCCCCCGCCCCGTGTGCCTCTTTTTCTTTTTAGCAGTTTTCCAGCAGTGGGGATTGAACCTAAGGCCTTGCACATTCTAGGCAAGCACTCTGCCACTGAGCTAAATTACCCAGGCTGGCCTCGAATATTTGATCCTCCTGCCTCAACCTCCTGAGTAGTTAGGATTACAGGTGTGTGCCACTGTGGCTAAATGACACAATGCCACAAACGCAAAATATGACATTTTAATTTTTCTACTAGCTCTTACCAAAATTCTTGTGAGGGAAGGAAATAAAGGGAGTGACTGGGCCTTGTGTGCAAGGTGGTCAGCAGGGACCAGGACATGGAGGAGCAGGGAAAGATTGTTTTACATGTAGCATTACCTGGGGTGAGGGTATTAGATTTGCTCCCAAAAGGAAAGCAAGAAGCCAGGCCATACAGGGAGGGGATGCTCCAGGTGAGGTGGTACCATCAACACAGGCACTGTCCTCACACCTGCAGTCATAAATCTATCCACCCCATATCTGCTGAGTTCCCACAGTATGACAGGCCCCACTCAGGTACTGGGCTAGGCTTGGAATGGCAGACAACAAACCAGCAAAGGGAGATGTGCCGTGCAGGTGCGCAGCTGGTCCTGCAGACTGTGGCCTTAGTGTTTGTGACAGAGGCCTGGTGCAGCCCTTGCTCAAGGGCCCTTTGGGTCATTTGACAGAGGCTGGTGGAGGATGAGGCAGGGATAAGCCATCATGACTACAGGAGGAGGGAACCAGGCAGAGGGAAGAGCACAAAAAAGGAGCAGAAATAGGAGCAGGAAGGGGAGAAGGAGAAGTTGTTGAAAGTCTGCTTTTGTGCTCACAAATGCTCCCCTTGGGTAAATGGTTTGCATGGAATTTACTCAAGTGCTGGCCCAGAAATGGGAGCCGTGGACCAGAGGAGACCATGTTATTATACCTAGTGCCAGGATTTTCAGCCCTGCAGGAGACTGTAGGCCTCTGTGGGTTGCGGTGCTGCCGGTGGCTTTGT